GGACAGTAGTTTTTAAGTACGCTTCAAATCCGATCAAATGGAACGCCTAAATCACAAAAAGCAAAAAATAACTATATTGAATTATCAAATTTTAGTGCAAATTTACTTTATTTGCAGTGTTGTGAGTTCCTTCTATTTTAATGTACTGGGCCAGCTGCTGGTCAAAATACAAAGTTTGCTTCGAATAACAGCTTATGAGGCGGTAGTCGATTAATTTTCGCCACTTTTTGCCATCAAGAGAAACAGCAATGTAGTAAGAATAGTTACTAAAACAACTCTCAGCCAAGTATGTGCTTTGGTTAGTACACTTACCGTTCATCACCGTCCCATAGTCTCATCTTGATATGATTAAAATACGAAGGACTGTCAAGTTTAACGATAAGAGCATTCTCACCATCGATCAAATGTTCACCATAATAACCGACATCGGTTTTTCCATCGCCAGTCAGCAAGTGAGCAGTTCCTTCTCCTGAAATTACCTCAGCCTTATGGAGAGGAGTTGCAATATTCTCATCAACCACTTAAACTAAGAATTAAAAAAACGTCACCGTGATTTCGAAATTCTTACTGTAAGAACCTCTAGCACTGGAGCTTTTCACTTTAACGCCAACGATTTCAGCAACGGCTTGCAGCAGCTTCTCACAGTCGAATAATTTCGAAGGCCACACTGTAGACACGATATCTTCCACAGTCATCCAGGATAAGCGAACACACTGTATCACTAAATCGTCTACGTCGTTGTTGATTTTGCACCACTTGGCAACACTTTTGAAAATTTCGATTTCGGGAGCAAAAAAAGTACTGCGTTCTAAAAGTTTAATCATCGATTTCTGCAACAAAAGTGTAACAGGTGTCAAAATTAAATTATTCTGGTTTTACTTGAGACAGGTCTGCAAAACAGTCACTTGAAACGACTTCAGAGGCGTTAAGTTCCATGAAGGAATGACAGACTTCGAGCAGTTCTTCTAAATCGTATAGGTTGGCAGTGTTGAGGACAGCGCAAACGTTTTGTAAATTTAGAAGGAGTTTTAGTTTTTTAATTATGGTGGTTTGAAGGTCTGTGAACGAGTATTGATGGGCAAGTCCTAGTATCTGAAGGGTTGTGTCAACATCGGAGGAAATAGTAATGCTACCTGCAATTTTTTAATCAATACGGTTTTGTTTATAAAATAATGGGTCACCTGTATAAATGTATTTAAGCAGAGTACGCAAGGCGTCAAAAGGCACACCGGTTATGGTTATTTTCGTGTTTTGCGGATCTTCGTAAAGTAGAGACTCAAAGTACTCGCTCCTCACGGCCAGAATCACCTAAAGCGTGTGATATTTTTTCGATAACTCAAAGCAAATAATTGTGAACTAACCTTGTGAGCGTACAGCTTTTGGTCATCGACGAGCAACGTAATGTCAGAAAATTTCTGGTTGAGATACAGAGATGCGACATCTCCGACCAACTTGGTGGTGTCTGTAATAGTCACACCTTCGTCACTTTTCACCATTTTGTTTAGATTTAACAAAAGTAAATCACTGAAAGTGGAAGTTTTCTTCCGATTTATATAGGCAAATCAAAATGATAAAGAACGGAAGTGTGTCCACATCGGTTAGAAGGCGGATATGTATGTAAATTAATTAACTAAGACAACTTGGTAAAAATGAACAATACAAAAGCTCCATTTGCTCGTTAAGAAAAACATCAAATTTACACTAGAGAATAAAATAAATAATTAAATTTGAAAAACCTAAATTTCTCAAACATTGTTAAAACAATGAAAAAAAAAGCAGCAAATATTTATTTGCCTGATGATCCGTCGTCTGCTTACGGTAGATAATTTTCTGTTTCGTTGCAACAAACATATTTTTACAGTTTTTTTTCTCGATATAACTCGTTAACAAACTCAAAGAAACAAAACTACCACTTCCGCCAGCATGTGTTTACATTTTGCTAAAAAATATCGTGATTTAAGTGATCATTCTTAACTGAAGATAATGTTGAAGGTTACCTGAACTCAATGATCTAATTCAATTGTAGTTTTTAGCAAAATGAAAATCTGTCATTACCTCTACAGTTCGAAAAGAGTGTTTTCGTCTGTCTGTCTGTCTGTCTGGTGTCTGTATCCATTTCTATTAGACAAGTAATTTCCGAAACTACTCGACCGATGATTGTCACAACCTGTATGTACACTAGGAATATCATGTAGATGGTTAACGCTAACTAAAATTTGGCTACTTATCCCCAGCACCAATGGGACAACGTCATCTCCAAAATTTATAAGAATTTTTTTTTTATTGTATAAAATAAGATGTTATTCTTGTAATTGTGCTGTGGTGTGTTAATCCGTGTCTAATTTTACCCCAGACACCTCAAATTTTTGGAAAAAATTCAAAGCTGATAGTAATATTGTGCAATAGAAATAACTTGCAAAACTGATTGCTCTAAAATCTTGTAAATATTTTAAGGTTATCGTAGTCATGGTAACCGTTAAGCAAAATTTATTCGTTTATCCCCTCCCAAAAAATTGATAATTTCTCTATAAATTGGTTCTTTGATTTTTCGACTTTTCGATTTCCAGATTTTTCGACTTTTTTTGACTTGTCGATGTTTCGGTTTTAGGATTTTTCAATTTTGGGGTTTTTCAATATTTCGATTGTTCAGTTTTTCGATTTTTTGATGTGTTGATTTCTCGATTCAATTTTTCGACATTTTAATTTTTCGAATTTCTGAAATTTTAGAGTTTTTACTTTTTTGATTCGGTATCTCCACCTTTCGATTGTTCGATTTCTCATTTTTAGATTTTTCGGTTCTTCAATTTTTCTACATTTTCGTTCCAGAATTTTTCAATTTATCGATTCTTCAAATTCTCAATTTTTCGAATTTTCGATTTCTCGATTTTTTATTTTTCGATTTCTCGATTTTCTGATATTTTAGTTTTACGATTTCAGTTTTTCGATTCTTTAATTTTCCATTTTTTTGATTTTTCTACTTTTCGATTTCTCGATTTTTCTATTTTTATATTAATTTTTCAATTTTTTAAATTTTAGATATTTCTATTTTTTGATCTTTCAACTTTTCGAGTTCTCGCTTTTATATTGTTCGGTTTTTCAATTTTTTGACTTTTAAAATTTTTCATCTTTTTTTTTAATTCAATTTTTCGGTATTTACATTTTAAATTTTCAGTTTTCCGATTTAGATGTTTCGATTTTTTAATTCTTCGATTTATAGTTTCTGGGATTCTCGATTTCACAATCTTTAGAAGTTTCGATTTCTAGATGTTTCAACTTTTTTAATTTCAATTTCTCGGTTTTTTGATTTTTTTCGACTTTTCGATTCTAAGCTTTCTCAATTTTTCGACATTTCAGTATTGGGATTTTTCAGTTTCTCGATTCCTGAGTTTTTCGATTTTTCAATTTTTTGATTTTTTTATTTGTGGATTTTTCGATTTCTCAATTTCTAATTTTTCGATTTTTAATTTTTCGATTTATTAAATTTTATATTAACGATTTTTCCATTTTTGGATTTTACTATTTTTTGATGTTTCGAATTGCCGATTTAAAATTTTTTAGTATGTATGCCCATATTTCAATTTGTCGGATTTTAAATTTTTTCGACTTTTAATTGTTTCGATTTCTCGATTTTTCAAGTTTTCGACATTTCAGTTTTGAGATTTTTAGTTTTTCGATTCATCAATTTTTCGATTTATCAATTTTTCGAATATTTTAATTGTAGATTTTTCGATTTCTCGGTTCCTCGGTATTTTTTGTGATTTATCAGAAGACCAGGTATGGGATTTTGTTTCTTGATCGAAGTGATAAATTATCACTTGCGATAAAGGTCATTGCGTTGCTTTTAAATGCAAAGTTTGCATTTATTCTTTGCATATAAGCTTATTAAATGCTCAAAAGTTTAAAATCACCTTAATTTTAAGAACTTATAACTCAGAATTACGATTTTAAATTTCTATTTTGACATAAATTTCGAGGTTATGTCTCCAAAATTTATCACTTCATTCAGAGCTATCGAGAAAATATCACTCCATGAAGACATAATTTCGTGACAGAATCGAAAAATGTGATAGAAATGTCTCACCAACTCAGCCTCTCAACCAATCAGCAAACGAGATTTTATCGCTTTTGAGTTTTTTTCGATCGAGAAACAAAATAGCACCCCCGGGACTTTTTGGGCTGGGGAAGCTGTGTCGAAATAACCTTCGACAAAATTTTTAGTTTTGCCATGCAGATTTTTCAAAATATAATTTTTTGGAACTCGAATACTTTTCTGGTAATTTCCTCTTATTCGGGGTATTGGAAACACACAATATGGAAATGTAATGTTAAAATAAAAAAATATTTCTTTTACTTAAAAAACCCCGTTTTTAAAATAGAATTATTTAACAATTTTGTTTTTTGTATAATTTTACGCCAAAATTTTTACCACATTGATTTCTTCTTTTATAATTTATCGTGGTATAGTGATTTAGGACAACAAAAAAAAAACAAAGATCACAGCAATATTTTTGTTCTATTTTCATTTTAAAAATAAAGTGATTTTGAAAAATCTCTAAACTTTCTCATGTAAGGTTCCAACGACATTACCATTAACAAAATCAAACACAGATATTCAGATTCCAATGAAGGTGCTGAAGTCGAAGAAATAGACCAGGAATATGAAATATGAAGAATACTCTCGGGTATTATAGTCTCTAACAATTGGAGGTCGTTCAAAAAGTAGTTCGTTGAACAAAGCAAACACTTCTTCGTGGCTTCGAAGCCTATCAGAACGATCCTCTTTGACAGATTTTGATTTTTTGTACTGTCTTTATTAGGACCTAAATGATGCACTTTCTAGTTGACAGTCTACATTACGATTTGAAAATCGTATTTTCAAACTTTCTATTATCGTATTACTAAAGATTGACATTTGGGGATCATAACGTTTATCGAATATTTATTACAATTGGATGATTCGGGTAAATACCACGTTTGAAAAAAAACACAGGTTTGACCAGCTAAATAATTCTATTATTACTTGTCACGTAAAGCATCAGTTTCAAGTTTGCAGTAGTCACTAAATCTCTGGTTTATTTTCATCACACCGCGGAAGGACATTCGAAATGAACCACATGAAACTCCTAGAAGTTTTGTTAGAAAAATTATCTCAAAAACTGGTGTGAACTAGGTGACTACGAATGAGATTTACTTACCGTGTTAGCAGTGTTGAGAGTCCCCGTTATCCTAATAAAAACCACGACTCTCTCTTTAAAACGAAGATTCTGCCAAGATGTGCAATCTTGGTTTCTTAGATCCACGGCAATCTCCCAGTCTGAATTATCGATGGAAGTTTCAACAAAATATCTATAGCGTCTCGAATCGCGGTCCCATAATAAAAGTCTCATTGTTGAAATTATGTACGGTTGTGCTACGATTCGTAATGATTGTTGATAATAAGACAAAGAAAAAGTAGTGATTTACCCAGTTGGATGGTGAGATTTCCACTGCTTATACTATGCCAGGAATAGCCTCTACTCCCATCGTAATCATGTACATTACCATTCAACAAAACGGAAGGATTTTCTCTTAGAAAATGATCATATTTATGATGATTTTGCACGTATTTTTCACTTACCCTTTAATGACAAGCGCTTTCTTGTCTAAAGTTGCAACATTATAATTTGGGCAGATAATGCCATTTGTGGTTGAAGGAACATTATTTTTGAAATAAGCTTCAAAGGATATGATGTGAAACTCCTGAATAAAAAAAAAAAACAAATTAAGCATGTAAGTACGTTTTGAAATGTTACACTGTTGATTGTGTTTTGCGTTCCCACGATTTTTATGTATTGCATCACCTGCTGATTAAAAAACAAAACTTGGTCTGAACGACAACTAATGCGACTATAGTCGATAATTGTTCTCCAGTTCTTCTGATCAAGTGAAACCGAAATGTTATAAGAATAAGAGCTAGAACGAATTTTCTTAAAACTGTCAATAAGATTCTTGTAAGTACCGTGTATCGCCATCCCAGAGTCTCAGTTTGATGTGGTTGACAAAGGATGGAGCTCCGAGCTTCACAATAATCCCACTTTTGCCGTCTATAATATGGTAAGCAAACTTACTTTCTACTTTTCCACCACCTGTCAACAACCAAGCTGTATTTGTTCCAAGAATCACTTCAGCGTTATGTTGAGCAGTTGCTAGATTTTCATCCAAAACTTAAAACTCTCACTTAATTTTTTTTCCCAATTTGGAGACAATTTCTTACGATAGAACCCTCTAGAAGTGGAAGTTTTTGCTTTGACGCCAACGATCTCGGCAATGGCTTGTAACAACTTTTCACAGTCGAATAGTTTCGAAGGCCAGACTGTACTTACGATGTCCACGACAGTCATCGACGATAAACGAACACACTGTTTAACTAAATCATCAACGTCGTTGTGAACGTTGCACCACTTAGCCACGTTTTTGAAAATTTCGATTTCGGGAGCAACAAAATTATTGCGTTGTAAAAGTATAATCATCGATTTCTGTAACAAAGGTTTAATATGAGTCAAAATTAAGATTATTCTGGTTTTACTTGAGACAGGTCGGTGAAACAGTCACTAGTGACGACTTCAGATGCGTTAAGGTCCATGAAAGAATGGCAGGCTTCGAGCAGTTCTTCTAATTCGTAGAGATTGGCAGTGTTCAGGACGGCGCAAACATTTTTCAAATTTAGAAGAGGTTTTAGTTTTTTAATGATGGTAGTTTGGATGTCGGTGAATGAATATTGATGGGCAAGTCCTACTATCTCAAGGGATGACTCAACATCGGAGGAAACAGCGATGGTACCTGAAATTCATGTATGAATCTGGCTCTGTTGTAAAAACTGACGTTCACCTGTATAAATGTATTTCAATAGACTACGTAAAGCGTCAAAAGTCACACCGGTTATTGTTATTTCGGTCTAAAATTTTTGTGTAAGGATTATTTTGCTAGAAATTGACAAATTTTTTACCTGGTTTGTGTTTTGCGGATCTTCGTAAAGTAAAGATTCAAAGTACTCGCTCCTCATGGCCAGAATCACCTAAAGTGTGTAATATATTTTCAATAGTTCATACCAAGTAATTGTAGACTAACCTTGTGAGCGTATAGTTTTTGGTCATCGACGAGTAACGTAATATCAGAAAATTTCTGGCTGAGGTACAGAGATGCGACATCTTCGAGTAACTTGGTGGTGTCTGTAATAGTCACAGTTTCGTCACTTTGTACCATTTTGTTTAGATTTTACACAGTTTAAGTGTTTTCGTTTAACGATACCAACACTGAAGGTGGAAATATTCTTTTGCTTTATATAGGCAACACAAAATGATAGAGAGAGGAAGCGCAACCACTTCGGCTAGAAGGCGGATATGTATGCACAGAAACATTTAAAATGGTAATGAAGAACAAAGCACAAAATACGAGATAATTTGTAGTGAAATAGGTGAAATTATAGTTAAATTAATGTACTGAAATAATTTCCATCATTGTTTTTGATATACCTAGATTACATATTTTATTGTTCCAGCTCACTATAAAGAATTTTATCCTAAATCGTCTTCAATCGATTTTAACGTTCTAGATTTTTGAAAAATCTTTACTAAACATCTATTTTTCGACAAAAGCGGACATTGTTTTACAATAATCAAAAACATTCGCAGTTGTTACTAAAAATAAAAACACGCCTGGGAAACTTTCTGCGTAAATTGGTTTCTAGTGATAATCTTGATTACTTCTACGATTGAGAGGTTCCAAACGAAAAATAAAAAATCTTCACTTCTTATAAAAAAAATCATAAAATTTTCAATATAAACGCAATTGAAAAACGCAGAATTCATTTTTTTTTTTTTAAACGATGGACTAACAAGCAACAGATATTTGCATAAAAATCCGTCCTCTGCTTACAAGAGATTATTTTCTGTTTTGCTGAAAACAAGCTCTAATGAAAAACATGTTTGTGTTTTTTGTTTTGCGATATGACTGGTTCACAAAATCAGAGAAACAGAAGTTCAGCTTCTGCCGATATGTGCCTACGTCTGTTTAATAAAAAAATCTTGAATATTTTTAGTTGATAATAAGTCTGTCTTTGTTTTAAAATAAGTGACGCTTTTTAGCTTCAAGGGTATTTTGAGATATTTTTTTTAACAGAATCCTTGTAATTTAAAATAAAGATAACGGGTGTTCATTTAAAAAATTCGTCAAGTTGCCACTGACTTTTTTTATTAGCTTTCCAATGTAAGTAAATAAGTGAGGAGAAATAAATATTTCCGATAACTCCGTTCTACGATTTTTCTATTTTTGTATTTTTGGTGATGCTAATTTTCGATTTCTCCACTTTTCAATTTCTCGATTTTTTGACTTTCCGATTTTTAAATTTTTCAATTTTTTATTTTCTCATTTCTCGTTTCTAAATTTTTCTATGATTCGATTGCTTAACTTCCAGATTTCTTGATACTTTGGTTCTTCAGTTTTTCGATTCCTTAACTTTTCTTTTTCGATTTTTCTATTTATCGATTAATCAATGTTTCGATATTTCAGTATGACGATTTTTTTTAATTCTCAAGTATTGGTGTTACTAAATTTCCGTTTCCCGATATTTTGACTTTTCGATTTTTAGATTTTTCGATTTTTTTGAAGTTCCCATTTCTCGATTTCTGACTATTCGATGTTTCGTTTACTCGACGTCTCGATTTCTCGATTTTTAAGTATTTCAATTTTTAAAATGTTCAGTTCTTCCGTTTTTCAGGTTTTTGATTTTTCGACTTTTCAATTTTTAAAATTTTCGATGCTTCAGTTTTCGAATTTTCCAACATTTCGATTCTTAAATTTTTCAATTATTGGTTTCCATTTTTAGATTTTTGAATTTTTTACCTCTTCGATTTTTCAACTTTTCCATTTTTGTTGCTTTTTTGATATTGCAATTTCTCGATTTACGAAATTTTCATGTTTTGATTTAACTAAATATTTCTCGATTTGTAATACGTCAATTTTTCGATTTCTCGTCAACACGGTTTTTACATTTTTCAATATTTTGATTTTCCCATTTCTCGATTTTTCAAATTTTCGATGATTCCATTGCTTGACGTCTCGATTTCTTGATTCTTCAATTCTTCAACTTTTTGATTTACAAGTGTTTTTTTTGATTTTCCGACTTTACGAACTCCCGATCTTTCAACTTTAGATTTTTTAGTTTTTAGGTTTTTCTATTTATCGATGTATCAATGTTTCAATATTTCAGTTTTGCTATTTTGGTTCTTAATTTGTTGGATTTTTCGATTTTGTTCCCTTTTCAATTTTTCTGTATTTTAATTCCTAGATTTTTCGTTGTTTCGATTTTTCAATTTTTGCATTTTTATATTCCTGCTTTGCAGTTTTTTAATTTTTTAAATTTTATGCTTTTTTCTAAATTTCCGATTTCTGGTTCTTTGAGTTTTCAATTTTTAAATTTTTAAATTTTTTCATTTTCTCGTTTCACGATTTCTGACTGTTTGTTGTTTCGATAACTCGGGGACTTGATTTCTCGATTTTTAGATTCTTGAATTTTTTTACATTTTTCAGTTTTTCGATTTATGGATTTATTAATTCCTCCGTATTTCAGTTGTGGGAATTTTGGACATTTCGATTCTCAAATTGTTTAGTTCTTGATTTTCATTTTAAGATTTTTTAGATTGTGATTTTTCGATTGTTCGATTTTCTGATGTTGCGATTTCTCGATTTTTCAATTTTTGCAATTTTTTAATTTTCCGATATTCTTGTTTTGTGATTTTTCAATTTTTTGATTTTTCAAGTTTTCAGTTTTTTGCGTTCCTAAATTTTCTATTTTTGGATTTCTCGATTTCTTGATGTTTGGATTTTTTGATTTTTCGATTTTTTTGATTTTCCCATTTCTCGATTTCCCCCTGTTCAATGATTAGCGTACTCCACCTCTTGATTTCACGATTTTTCAGTTTTTCAAGTTTTTAATTTATTAGTTGTTCCGTTTTTCAAGCTTTTGCTTTTCCAATTTTTTGATTTTTAAAATTTTCGATTTTTCGACTTTTCGGTTTCTCGGTATTTTTATTTTTTGATTCTTGAATTTTTCTTCGATTTATCGATTTATCAATTCTTCCACGCTTCAGTTTTGATTTAAATTTAGATTTTTCAATTTTCTACCTCTTCGATTTTTCAACTGTTTTTTTTGATTTTTTGATACGATTTCTCGATTTTTTATTTTTCCGATTGTTCGATTTTGTTATGCTGATTTATCGATTTTTCTGCTAGCTCGATTTCTCGATCTTTTGATGTCCCATTTTCTCGATATTTCATTTTTTTTGTTTCTTCAATTTTTCCATTATTACAATTTTTTGATATTTCCACTTTTCAGTTTTTCGATTTCCCAATTTTTCAAGAGTTCAGTTGAGGATCTCTCAGTGTCTCGATATTTCATTTTTTTTTATTCTTCGATTTTTCGTTTGTTACGATTTTTTGATATTTTGGTTTTACTAAGTATTTCTATTTCTCGACAACTCGGTTTTCCGATTTCTGAAATTTTTAGATTTTTGAAATTTTTTATTTTCTCATTTCAGGATTTCTCAAATATTCGATGATTCAATTTTTCAGTTTTCCGTTTTTTAAAATTCTCCATCATACAGTTTTTCGATTTCTCAACTTCTTTTTTCGACTTTGTTTTTTTGATTTTTCTATGTATTGATTTATCACCGTTTTAATTTTCAATTATTTAAAATTATAGAATCTTAAATTTTTCCAACTTTTAAATTTTAGATTTTTCAATTTTTTGATGTTTCGATTTTTCGATTTTTCTATTTTTCGACTTCTCGGCTTTAAATTTTTCAGTTTTTAAAACTTCCGACTTTTCACTTCTCCAATTTTTCTATTTTTGAATTCGTATAGATTTAGATGTTTCGATTTTTCGATTGTTCAGCTTCCCGATTTTAAAATTTTCCAAATATTCAATTTTTAACTTTTCGAATTTATATAATTTTGATTTCTCGATTTTTCAGTTTTTCGACTTCTGGATTATTCGATTTCTCAACTTCTCGATAAAGATCGAGAATAACAAAAGTGTTACCCCATTTCTCGATCTTTCAGATTTTCAATGTTTAAAATTTCCAATTTCTTCGATTTCTGTCTTTTTTTTAATTTTTTGATTTTTTTCTCCGACTTGTCAATTTTTCAAGTTTTCGATTTCTCAAATTTTGTTCGATTTTTTTTGAAGGATTGCTCGATCTTTGAATTTTTCAGCTTCTCCGATTTTGATTTTTAAAAATAATAAATAATAAAATTTTGGTATCAAATTTAAGGTAGTAGAAATCCTGTAGTACATCTAGTAACTCAAAATTATATTTTAACAATTGCTTCCACTTCCTGTTCAAGTCCTAAAAAAAAATCTATTTTCAATGATTTTCCTTTATGACTGTTGCAAACGTTGTTTTTGCTTTTGATTAAAAAAATTGTTTTGAATTTTGTATTGTGAAATTATCTTATTGAAGGACTACACTCGAGTTCTAAAATCTGTAGCAACAGTTGATCAAAAATGACGTTCTGTAATTCCATCATTTGGCGATACCAAAAATCCGCCACCCTTTTCCCTAATTAGAGCACTTCTGGCAGATCTAGTCCGAAGAAATACCCACACAATTATGATAATAACAAAAGTGTTTCTCTTTTATTTCACGTCACGTCCCCTCGCCACGTTCCCATCATAACGCATCCATCAAGCATCCGCCCCATGTTCACCTTTTCTAATTCACCAACAGGCCCATTAAACACCATAAAATTGATTAAATCCCCGATTAAACAAATTGCCATGTCCTGCCATGCATGCCAGAGGTACATAAAAGATACAACCTTTATTCTCTCACCAGCACAACCCGCCGATATTTTTCCTCTTCTCTCCTCCATCTTTACGATAACAGCCCCGTTCGCAATTTTTTCTTTAGCGCCGCGCATCCTGCAAATTGTAGTGTTTGCTCACGACCGTTTGCATCTCCTACTATTATCAAACAATTACTTTTATCAATATTCTAGCCTCATTTGCTTCATGACTAGTTACGGCATAACGGACACGCTCAATTTGTTCGAAACGTTGCGTCCACGCCGCCGCTTTCGTCAGCGAGAGACGGAGAAAGGGAGGCCTCTGAAGGGTTGCAACAGAATAATACATTGCAACCTAAAGCATTTTTCGTTTTTAAGCTTAATTGGTCAAAGCTAAGGAAGTGTTGTAATCGAATCCAGTTAAAGTGTTTCTATAGATATTTGGAAAACGAGT